ACCACTATTTTCACAGAGTTATTGTAATTGCATTTGTGAACCGATTTATCTGACAGCGCGTAACTCGCTCGACAACTAAAGTCGTAGCGACCAGCAAGAGCTTGTGAACTACTGTTAGCGCGTGATACGTACAGGTGAGGTCGTTAAACAAAACACATCAGTCTGCATTCCATGCGCTTCATATACGACCTTCTTGAAGTCGTCTGATCGTATGTCAGTGTTTTCCCGTGAGTTAATTAATGTCTTTGTATCATAAGTTTTATTTCTGAAGTACGTGTGATTACACATTTCCAAGTTACGTCTCGATATCGGGTGTTGACAGTTTACCCGGTGTTACTATAATTTACACTACGGTAATGGAATGCCCGATACGTATATATACGCAATACAGAAATGACGACACGAAAATACGACAAGGAAAACATGTGTATTACGACGGGTGGAAAGTCCTTAAATCTAATTCCGTGGTCATATGTTAAAATTAACTTAGATTTGAAAGTGTTATAATATAGGCGGAATGGTCGAGTGGTTACTGAACACTCCGGCATTCTACGTGGCCGGGGTTCGATCCCCGAAGTCGTCGTACCCATGGATATTCAGAGAAAGTGTTTTTCTCCTGCCCATACAACTCCAACAACCCAGGGGGAGTATACATTGGTCTGGGGTGGATGTTGCAGTATGTGTGCTGTAGCATTCAAGCGAGGTGGCACTGATAAATGATACCGTTGGAAGCACGGTCCCGCTACAAACAGACCACATTACATGTCCAGCACACACGCAGGAATACACACATGCGGAGATATTAGCCAGGTGGCAGAGGACTAGGAGTTAGTGCCTGATAAGGCAGCTCCTGGGAATTCCTCATAAAAAAAATGTATTGAATTAATGTGTATGCTAATTGTATTAATTGTATATCTATGTACAGTAAAGCGCGTTAGAGTGGCTTGTGTTGACTAGATAGGGCGCTGTATCAAATGTTGTATATAGATAATCATATTTTTTTTAATAAATTAATAACAAAAGGGCAAATTAACTTCTGTATTTGGAGAATCATTTAACTTTTCATGTCGGATGATTGGATGACCGAATGTGCCCAGTTCTTTTCTAAGTTCCGTCCACGTTGGGATCAGCAGAATTATGACGTCACAATGCATGCAACGTCACCCAAATTGATATATTAACAAGAAATGCAGCAAAGCTGCTGGACACCAATGTTTTTATGAAAGTGGCTTACTGACAATTCAACAACCACGAGAGAGAGAGAGAGAGAGAGAGAGAGAGAG